CATTTCCTTTTGGCATGACTGTTGGTCCCATGTAATGCTTGATATGAGGTATACAAGGTTTTCAAGTCTTATGGTTTCTGATACTTGGGTGGATGGTCATTGAAATTTTCCTCTTCTCCTTAATCTTCTGGGTTTCGAGGGAGCTACTTTCATTTCCACCATTCCTATTGAGCCTCATTTGCAAGGTACTCCTATGTTGAAATTTCCTATGTCTTGCTCCACTACCAAATCTCTATATTCCGCCTTACATAATTTTGAAAAGCTTTCTTGGGGAGAGGGTGTATGGAGTTGGGCATTAACTCCCTCTATGTCTTTTCTGGCTTGGGAGGTTTTCCACTATGTTATTCCATGTGATGATATCTTAAAAATGAAGGGTTTGAGACTTGCTTCACGTTGTTGTTTGTGTAACTCGGCGGAGGAGACTGTTGAGCATATTTTCTTTTCTTGCCCCTTTTCACCTTTCATATGGAGGAAGGTTGGCATGTGATTTTAACACTACTGTGAATCTGGAGCGGAATCTTTTGCTTAACACTATGATTTGCAATTCGAATCGAAAACAAAAATATTTTTTACAAGTCTACCCTATGTTGGTTTATTTGGATGGCTCGTTATGATATTATATATGAGAGTAAAGCCATTCAGAATAGGATGATCTTTACTAATATTATTGCCTATATTAATAAGTTTTGGAGGACGGGTAATGCTAAACAAAGCTTCTTTTCGGGTATTAACTATTTTCTTTCTATGGGGCCTGCGGTCATGGCTGAGAGGAGATCTCTTCTCCCAGTTTTGGTGAGATAGAGACCTCCTCCCAGGAGTTGGGTAAAGTTTAACACCGATGGGAATTTGAAATTTAATAGTGCGGGCTGTGGCGGCATTGCTATGAATTTTGCTGGGAACTGTATTCTTTTCTTTTCTTCCCCCTCTTAAGTTGACACTCCTATGGAGGCGGAGGCTTTGGCCATCTTGATGGCTGTCATGATAGCTCACTCTCTTAGTTGACTTTTTATTATATTTGAATGTGATAATCACATCTTGGTTGACATTTTGCCAATGGTGCTGACTTAATCTCTAATATGAATGTGATATGGAATTTCAATTATCGGGAGGGAAATTAATCCGCAAATTGGCTTGCTATTTTAGGTAGCGCCACTAGTAACTGTTGGGTGGGATCTGATCCCCCCTCCTTTAAACACTTTGCTGGTTGGTGACAAGATTGATGCCCCCATATGTTCGTTGGGATGTCTCCTCTTAGCTTGTTATTATCTGTTTGGTGGTATGGTTTGGCTCTGGATTTCATTGGGGTTGTCCTTATGTTTTCTTTCCTACTTCGGGTTCGATTGACTCTCGGTTGGGGCGGTTGTTGCCGCTCACCTTATATTTATGACAGTACCTACTTTTGGTTTTGTGGTATTTTCTTTGGGTGCCAGCTTTTGCACCTGATTTTATGGGTTTTATTGGATTCATTAAATCAATCTTTACTTTCACGGGCCCTCTTTCTTTCCTTTGTCATTATTACTGCAGGTTTTCTTTCGTGGAAGTTTTCTTTCGTGGAGCAGGTTTTCTTTCGTGGAACTCAGACGCTTGTGATGTTGTTGCCGTCTGGAGCTCTTCACTCGGTTTTTGTGTTCTTTCTTAATTTTTTAGTGTACATCTTTTGTGGGGTATACGATTACTTTGGTATAATTACTTTGGTAGTGGATTTAATATTTTTTTGGGTACACTTTATCCTTTTTATCCTTTTGGTGTGAAGTTGTAATGTGGATAAAGGAACCCCTAGAAGTTTTATTTTGTTTTTAGATGGGGATCCTTATTCCCTCCATTTTTTTGTATTTTTAATTTTTATTAAAGCGTAGGGAGCCACGAGATGTTCTTTCCCTTATATATATATATATCGCCATGAGGCGAAACCCTAACAGAGCGGGAACGACGACCCATCGATATATATATATATATATATATCATTAACTAATGCATTATAGTAGGTAATTACATGTACATATGAAATTGATGACAATGTGACCAATAAAGAAAAATGAATATTAATCAGCATAAAACTTGTCCAAGTATCGATAGATTACTAATAAACAATAGTTGAGAAGAAACAAAATGCTACCATTGCTTAAAAATATGAGTACTCAATTACTGATGATTCTCTTGCCAATCATTTTCTTCACTTATCTTCATTGAAAATCTATAGTCACATGCATAAATAATTTTACGAGTTGCTCGACGCTTGTGTATTTTGTCTTCTTCGCACGACTTGCCTTGTAGCCTAGAAACCTCCTCCCTTCAGCTAGGGTTTGTCTTCTCCCACTTGGAAACCATTGAAGCTGCTTTGTCACCTTTGCCTGGATGATGTTTCCTTCCTTGTCTCCTTTCCTCATTGGCAAGTTTTCCTCTTTCTTCCTTTTTTTTTCTTCTGCTGCCGCCGCTTCCTCTTCTTCTCCTTCTCTCGTCTCGATCGCTTTGAGTCTCCTTTGCTTCGAAAGGATACTTCTTTTTAAACAAAAACTATTGTGGTGTTTCATTCTCACCTGAAATGACTGTATTGGTTGAAATTTCTATTAATACTAACATTCATATCTACATGCAGACCACTCAAAGCTTTAACAACACATAAAAATATTATCATTTACCTTCTTAAATGTGAAATATTGTTTTTCATGCATAGGTTTATGACACTGAAGTGTCATAAATGTAAATATCAAAATTTTGTTGTTAGATATGTAAATACATAAGAATTGTGTGGTATTTATATAAATTTTACAAAATATTGTTGAAGGCATTTAGTTTGTCTCAAGTTTTAACTAGTCTTCATCGTCTTCATAGCTCTGGTTGCACGTGTGATTAATTTTCTTGATGTGATGCCATAGTAAGCTCTACGATATCAGAGTTTCGATTTGAACTACTTACAAGGTTGTCATGACTTACGAGTGATATCGCATTTGGAGAAATTTTAGTTGGTTAATTCACTTTTGTTGCATTTTATAATATATTTGCAAGATATAGGATCTCTTTATGATATTTATGGATTTTAGGTGATTGAATCATACCCGTCTATCTTCTCCATGATTAAATTTCTTGCCAACCAAATAAATGTAATACTTTCAGTCATTGTTTGGTATAATTATAAGTTTATATCTGGTCCCTGAATCATTAAAATATCTTGTTAATATAAATTTAATCCCATGACTGGTACTAAATCTACAGGAGTGCAACATTGATGAGGTGCCTGATGAAGAAGAAACTTCTAAAAGTTTGAAAGACTCGAAAAAGGCAAATGGACCTGAATCTAAAAGCTCAGCCCTTGTTTTCAAGATAACCAGCAAAGTTCCATACAAAACTGTTTTGAAAGGTTTCTATCTATTAAATTCTTTGTTCTTTTGGTTCAGTGATAATATAGCATTTACTAATCTTAAATTTATTGTATTACAGCTCACAGTGCTGTGTTGCTAAAAGCTGAGAGCCTGAGCGACAAAGTTGAGTGGATGAATAAGATTAGAAAAGTTGCTTATAAGGGAAATCTTGCCAAGGATATGCCAGGTTCTGATGTTGGATCTTTGAGACAAAGCCATTCAGACGGTTCACTAGTGAGTATTGATTTATTGATTGTTACCTGTGTTTAATTGCATCTTGTGATGGAATAGTATTATTATTTCTAGCTGTGGAATTCATTCTATTTTTATAATTAATTTTCTTTTTTCTTTGTTTATATTTTTAAACTGAAAGTTTTGAAAGAAAAGAAAGCTTCAAATAATTGTTTACTTATATTTTAGAACTAGGCATCTTTTAGCATAACTCTTGAAATGGTGTCCGCCTTTATTTGGAAGCAGTAAGGAGGTTGTGTATGACTGGAAATAAAATGTGGAGTGGAGAATGTAAGTAGCGGTGATGACAAGTGGTCGATGGACGCTTTGTGATCTTGAATGACCAAAACTAGGGAACCAATTTGTTAGGGTTTAGAGATCTTGTGCGGTGGTTAGTGTGGGTTTAATAATTGCAATATAGCTTGTGGAGAAATAGGTTTGAAATTCAGGTTGACTAATTTTCAAAAAATAATAATAAAAAAATTGAATCCAAATGTAATTTAATTTCCTAGTTAAATTGTCTGCTTGTTTTTTCTCTTCTGGACTTGTGCTTTTGCCTGTGAACTTGTAAATAGGCATATCCTTTGAGGAAATATTTGCGTACGTATTACGCACGCAGAGTTGCGTGCGTAATGACCCCGCAATAACCTCTGCTTCGTAGTTATTATGAGGTTATTGAGGTATTAATTCCAATAATCATAGTAACCTTTCAATAACCTTCGCGGGTTCTATTTAGATGTTATTCATAAGTTATTTTGGAGGTAGGGTTAATGAAGAACGCACGCAGAGTTGCGTGCGTGTTACGTACGCAAATATTTCCCTATCCTTTTGTGCGTACTGACCCCGCAGTAACCTCTGCTTCGTAGTTATTATGGGGTTATTGAGGTATTAATTCCAATAATCATAGTAACCTTTCAATAACCTTCGCGGGTTCTATTTAGATGTTATTCGTAAGTTATTTTGGAGGTATTGCGGGGTTAATGAAGAACGCACGCAGAGTTGTGTGCGTGTTACGTACGCAAATATTTCCCTATCCTTTGGTGGTGCATTATTTGCACTTCTTCAATATCTTGCAAATTTTGCTACATCACTCATGCTTTTTTTAACATGATTAAATCGATGCTCTCTTTTATAGTTTGAAACATTGTTACGTGCTTCCTGTCTTTGTTAGACATGCTACTATCTATCTATATGCATATAAAGTTTGAGTGAGTTTTATCTATATCAATTTTGTTTTTTTAAGAGCTTGACTTCCTTATTTGGTATTTATTTTTTGCATAAAAAATTAAGTTAACCATGAATTTTTCTTTTACGCATATTAAGTTAATTTCATGCCTTGTGCCAAGAAAAAGCTTTATCTACTTTTTGAAAAAAAATTTGATAAGAATTGGAGAATAGATTAGTATTTTTGTGTATAATTTGTACGATTCTAGGAAGACATTTAATAGGAAATATACAAAATTAGGGACTAAAAAAATAGCTATGTAATTAAGTACAATAGGAAAAGCCATATGAATTGGTGAGACAACATCAATGAACCCATAAATCGGTTAGGTGGCCAACCTTATTGATCCATGTGATCATTGATGATACCAGAGTTAACCTAAATCACAATAGGAAAAATAAATATTATTACTAAAAATAAATAGATGATTATAATTAACACACTTGAAAGAGAAACCAGAACAAAACAGGACACAAACTCATACTAGGGTTCGATCTGGGGGTGGTGGAGATTGGTTAGGTGGGTGGGGAGTAGTGGTAGGATGTTGAAATGGAGTGTGGGTTGTTTGGACAGCATGAGGGCTGGAATTGCGTTGGCTGTGAAGCGAAGGGCCTACAACGTCAGCATAAGCCAAGGGTAGGGTTGGGGCAGCGAGGGGCAGCGAGGGGCAGCGAAGGGCAGCGAAGGGCAGGGTTGTGAACTACAGGACAACAAGAGGAGTGCTATCCCGGGATTGCGATAGCGAGGGGAATGGCTGAAATGAAAGCAACAGGTGGCTTGGTGGCGGGTTTGTAAGAAAAAAACAGCAAGGCTGTTGTCTTGGGCAGTTGAAGCAAGTACGAAGGGTTGAAAAATGGTCAAAAGAGAGAAGCGAGGGAGGGAAGAGGGGCTGTAGGGAAGATGGGGGACCTGGACTACGAGGGCAGTGAAGTGGATGGAGGGGAAGGCAATGGCGATGACTGAAAAGGTTGCAGAGGAGTTGGGTAAGGATAAATCACCATCTTAGGTGAGTTACAGTCGGAACGCCTTCTTGCCTATGGATACAACCCTAAAAGTGAAAATCTTAGATATCAACGGTTGTCCTGATTGAAAACACCATAAAAACTGACTTCTAAATTCTGATACAACACGTTTATATCGAAAATAATTATAACAAAATAAAAGATAATATAAAAGAAAGCATAAAAAATGGCATTGTTTTGGTTTCTCCGCTTTTGTCTCCCGTTTCTTGTAATTTTGAATCCTACGATACTTTAGCAACTATAGTACTGTAAAAAATTTGTGCGGGAAAGCTTCCTAATTACCCGTAGTTGGTGGTGCTTCGGCCTTATTCATCGAAGCTTTTATTTGTACGTTGAAAGTAGCAGAGCTGTTATAATCTCCTAAGATTGAGGGGTTTTCAACTGCGGTTTGAGAAACACCTAGATCCCTTCGACGACTACACGTACCCCAAAGCACCTAAAAAGTTTTCCCCACTTGCAAGCAAAAATTCTTATTGGTTCAACCATGACGTAGGGCTTGCCCTTCTCGATATAGGCGCGCACGACCCTTTTCGCTGCGGCTGAAGCGGCCAACACTTTAGCCGACTGGACCGGCCTGGATAAGGGCCGGTTGGACTGGTTTCTGCTTCCGCTTGTTAGAGTAGGATTAGCTGCCCGTGTTGGTCCTATTTGTGGAATTATCGCTTTAACTTCTTCTGCCCTCTCCTGCCTATGCAAGCCTTGCCATAGGGGAACTCCTTCCTATTTTGCATTCCTTTCCTTCATAGTTCCTTACTCCTTTAAATGTTGCCTCTTTTATCTACTAACTTTAAATATAAATGTATGTTTCCTTGCCTGTTAGTTGATTGATTGTTGAATTCAGGTTGCCGACGCCTTGTTCCCTTCGTGGGCTATATCCGAAAGCAAGGAAGTGCTTCAGCTGCTCCTCAATTAGGTGGTGACCGTCTCAGCTGTGCTCCGACTGTAGCTTAGCCCCGACGAGGCATTTATCCTCCCTTTATGCCCGCTTCCAATGCTGCCAACCACTTTTCTGCTTTCGTCTAGCCACCGCAACCCCTCTCCCACGGCTGCCAGTATTGCTCCTTCCTCCCGAACCCCCTTCAGTTGTTGTCCTCCTCTGTGATCACCTACCAGTAGCCCTTCCAGCAACTCTTTGCCCCCTGGCCGGTCCTCCTGGTAGTTGCCCAAACTTCCCGCCGCCTTCTAGCCGACCTCTCTAGCCTTCCCCACCCCACCTATCCCTACTACAAACCATACTACCCCCAACTCTTGTTGCCGCCCCACCGACTGTTGTAGCTCTAGCTGGAGCCCGTGTGTTGTGTGTCCTTTGATTATGCTTTAGTGTCGTTGTGTTTGTCATCGTTATTTCCTATTTTCAAGAGTCGTGGTTGTAACTGTCAGAATTTCAACAATAATATTTTTGTTTCTTTTATGGCTTAAGTCTTCTTCGGTATCAAACCATCTAAGGGAACCCTACTGAGCTGAACGGGAATTTTAGGCTAAGTGTATTTTGTTGAATTCTTCAAAAGCAATCCAAGGTTGGTTCCAACCCGATCTGAGGTGAGAATAATTTAAATCTTCTTGAATGGTGGCGGTTAGAGTGGTAAGCTAGAGAACAAGATGTCTTGAAACTCTCTGTAGTGGCTGTCTTGTGTCTGCTACTGTCTCTTCTCGTGATCCTTTGTCATCACTGGTACTGATCCTCACAATGATTCTTTGTTGGCAAGGGCACATGTATTCTCCAACTTCGAATAAGATAGAAGGGCTATGGGCTTCATCTTTGGTGAATGAGTAGGTATTTCTGTGCCCATCATGTTGAGTCACGATCATATTGTTACGGTCTCCTCAGCACAAAGTGGCAGACATCCATGGTTACCACATCTTACCATGCTGCATCTAACAGTTGGTTCCCAATCAAAAACTCTATGAGATACCTCTGTCAATGCTAATCCTATTCTTCTTCTTCAACCATGTCAGAGACTATGGTTGAGGATGTTTCTGAGTCGTGATGCTCAACTTGTCCACCATCAGTGTTGACCTCACATTCTTATTGCTACCTCCATCGATGATGATGCTGCATACTTTTCCCTTTACAATGTAACAAGTGTAGAATATATTGTGGTAAAGCCACTATTGCTCACTCGACACCTTGGTCTGAAGAACTCCTCGAAACACAAACATCTTGCCCTCATTTGATGGAAGCTAGTACTCATCCTTTTCTTCAATGGTTTCTTGCTACAAACTTCTTCCCCTCATTTGATGGAAGCTAGTACTCATACTTTTCTTCAATGGTTTCTTGCTACAAACTTCTTCCACAACCCCTTTCTCAATGAAAGTCACAACTTGGCTCGTCGAGTAACTAGAAGCAATATGTCCAAAACTATGATACCTGAAGCATTTTTTGTCGGGACTGTTGTGGGCATGCTATTCTGCTCTGGCCTCTTCTCACTTGGGCTTTGTCTTGTTCGTGACTAGTTTGCTCCACTCTTTAAGGCGTAGTCATCCCAAAATGTAGCTGTCTAAGTGGCGATGGTTGTCTTATCTGCTTTTGTTGTCTCTCTACTTTCAGTGCTAGAATCCGCACGCCCCTTAGTGCCCAATAGGTTTGTAGTTGGACCCCATTACTACGGCGGGCTTCAGGCCTCCCAAATACCTGGTTATATTGTGCTCCTTTGTATCGTTCGGTTCACACTTTAACTTGAGTTGCATAAATTTTTAATTGGAGTAGCTTGATGTAAAATTTCAGAACTACAAGATTGCCTTCAAAGTATTTTTCTCACTGTGAAAGCTTAAGTTAAATACATAAGTTCTTAAGTTTTATAAAGCAAGCTCGAAAATCATTAGTAATCATCTTTTTTAATTTCATTCATAGATTTTCTTCTTTGAGTATAATTTCGTCTTTAACAATCTTTCTTTTGCAAGTTAATCTCATCTTCTCTTTCTTAAACAGCTACAAAATTGGTTGGAGGTTAAAATGAACCATCCCTCATTGTGGATGAATCACTTAATTTTTATCCTATTAAATTTTACGTACCACTTTCGATCAATTTTTCCTAATGACCCTTTTATTTATTTTCAAGTATCGTCTTCAACATCAAAACACTCCTAGCCCTCATCTATTGCCTTTCCAATTATCAATTTACAACATTCATCAATACCAACTATTTGGATCAATAATACTTCTTAAATTGAAAATTTTTTTTATTCAATCTTTGATTGTAAACACCGAGTCATTCAGTGATTTTTGTTCCAATTGATCCTCTTCTTATGTGAATTTGTAGGAAATTGTAAAGAAATGTACAATACATATGTATCATTTAGCATAGTTAACATTAATAAAATATTAACATGCACGAAGACACTACAACTCTTCACACAATCACTATCACTGCATGTTTAGCCTAAGATTTTAATAGCCAAATTTTTTAAAGTTAGGAATAATCCTTCATACATCTTCAGCCATTCTGCAATATTAAAATTTTAATATCACATACAGGAAAAAGAAAATTTATCAATAAAGGATTATTAAAATTATGTAAAAGTTTCGATTAATAATTATACTTAGAGACATCTTATCTTTATTATGGATGGTAAACATGTTGTAAATGAACCACCGACATCGTTATAATCGAGAAGATTTGATTTGTGATTCTAATATAACAACTAACAAATAACTTGCATAGGAGTTTGTTTTCTAGTGATTCTAATATAAATAGTCACACATACTTCATTTGATTGAATTGTGCATAAATAGAATTTTTGTTCAGCGCAATAAATTAATATTATTTTTTTTAATTATTGTTTTTATTTCTGTTCGTTTTCAATTATATATTCTCTATTAGTTTAGTAAAATTAAAATTTACAATGGCTTGCATTATTTTTTAAGGAATTTTCTCGTTTAATGGTTTTTATTTATAAATCATGTTCATATTCGTTATTATAAATGAAAAATAATTTCCCCAGAAATAAATATTTATTATTAGACTTATATAATATTTCAAAATACATGATTGAACTTTTATTCGCTGGGCAAATTGAGAAATACAAAATTAAAGCTTATTTTATCTGAAACTGACTGTACCTGTTATTTAGCATATGACTTACTCGACACTTTCTTTTAATATATAAGATATTTAATAAATTACTTATTAATCTGCGAAGTTTTATTTTCATCATTTATATTTGTGATGCTATCCTTTTTTTAATTCATAAAATTTTAAATAAACAATTGTACTGTTAAAATTTTCTGCTGCTTATAACCAAGTAGAAAGCTTCCAAATATAAGAGCTATTAACAAAGATTGTTGGAAAAGTTATGAAAGTGTTTTACTTAATTATTTTAATTTATATTGGCTGATTACATCTATTATTAAATTAGTAAAAATAGGAGTACATGAAATATAATAGAAAATAATATAAAAATTTGGAACGGGCTAATTAATCCCAATATCAACAAAATGATGCATAGTTGGAAAATCGGTGAAATTTAGTTTGTTAAATTGAGTGTAAAAAGATAAAATGCCTTTTAGTTACATAATAAGCATGCAAACAATTTATCTTATAGAGTTTTTGGAATTAAAAATAAGATAATAAATATACTTCTGTCCGTACAAATTATATTTTCTTCATTTGGCTGCACCATGTTAAAACTATGCTTCTTTTAATATATTATAATAATTTTCAATATACTCCACGAATGATAGAGTTTGATATAAAGTTTTATAAGAACGGTTTCTTGCCTTAATTTAATTGATTTATAAGTCTTTGCATGGTGATTATGCTCCTAAATTTTATTACATGGTCAAGTTAAATTGATCCGTCTATGCAGATGCACTTGGCAATTTACCGCAACAATAGTTGATGCCAGATCCTGGTCGAGATATTTATGCCTGACTCACGTTGTTATTCTTTAGGAGTTAAAATCCGATTGAAGTATGTCTCTACTTTTCCTTTTTTGTTAGGAAACAATGACAAGGAGACCTGCTGACCCAGAAGAGGAACTTAGATGGATGTCTCAAGAGGTCCGTGGTTATGTGGAAGCTGTTTTAAACAGCCTTGCTGCAAATGTTCCCAAGGTAAATATTCTTCACAATATAAGCTGCCTTGTCAGAATATCTTCTATATTTTGTCAGTTTTATAGTAAGTTTGGTTGATTGAACAGGCTGTTGTTCTTTGTCAAGTGGAAAAGGCAAAGGAAGACATGCTGAATCAATTATATAGCTCAGTGAGGTTTGCTATTTGATCCCTTGTATGCATTGTATGAAGCAAAATGTGGGTGTCATTTTTATGAATACAAGGAACTTCTATAATTTAGATGCGTCAATTTTTTTTCTTAGGAAAGATGAATTTTTTTCTGTTGTTCATTATCAGTTTTATGCAGTTATCCAAGTTATAATTGAGTGTTCATGCCTTTCTTCTCCTTTTGGAGTTCTCTTATCTTTGTTGACTGGATTCTTTTGATTAATTAGTCACATTTTTCCATGATCTGTGCTTATTATAAATCTTTATAATGTGATCTTAACATGCTGATTTATTAAACTATTTAGCATCTCTTAGAAGAGTTTGTTTGTTTATTTTTTGTGAAGTTTGAAAGAAACTCCCACGCTGACACATTTTCCATTTGGATTTAACATGTGAATTAATTTACTCAGTAGCATGAATTTGATTTTACACGGGCGTACTTGCACCACACTACTTACATGTTGTACATTGTATAAAGTTTGAGTTTGCAATTTAAACTCTCTTTATTGGTAGTATCGGGGATTATTTCTCGATATTCACACTGCTCATACAAATATGTATTGCCACCATAAATGTGGGCACTTTATAATTTTTTCTTTTTGTAATTTGTGAAAAGTTGCTTTAATGAATTGATTTGGTCCTCTCTTATTCTGTTGTGTTATATATTATGGTTTCTGAAATAATTATCAGCTGGCAGCTATTGTATCATAGAGTTCTTTGTTGATTGAAGCTCATGCCAATAATTTGATGTTTGACTTATTCAAAGGTAGATCTGGGCCTGTACTTTCTATGTCAGGGTCTTCTCGTGCCTAGCCTTGGGTTTAGACAAGTAAACAATAAACATAGTAATTGCAATGTATTAATTACTATGCATGGGGACGATATTAATGTGTTATCTGATTATTGGTTTGTTCTTGGCTTTAATATCCCTGTCCAAATGCAAGCCGAGTAACATCTAACTAGGTGTCGGTGGGGCGCTGCATGTTAGTTTGAATACTTGTCATGTTAGCAGACATGATTGCATATTGAGTGTCTTTTGGTTTTTAGATTTTTTTATTGATCTTTAACTATTGTTTCTTTTTTTAATTGTTTCCAGTGCTCAGAGCACTGCTAGGATTGAAGAACTTCTGCAGGAAGATCAAAATGTAAAGCGGAAGAGAGAGCGGTTTCAAAGGCAGTCATCCATTCTCACAAAGCTTACTCGTGCACTTAGCATCCATGACAATCAAGTTGCTGCTGCTTCATGGTCAGAAAGTAGTACTGGAGCAGGTAACTTCTTAATTATAAAGAGTAATCACTGTATTATGGTCTATAAGATCTAGTTTATTTAATTCTTTCTGTAGTATGAGGAATAACTGTAGTTTGACTCGGATGAGGTGTTTTTCTTTCACGGCACTAATTTCCTTTCAACTGTTAATTAGACAACTTTCTCATTGTGCTCGTATTTATCAGGCTGCGTTCTTATTGTAGTTTTTTTATCTATAAGTAGATGATTGAATTTGGCTGCTCTCTAAATGCAGTAAATTCAAATGCATTAATATGTTCAAAATTCACCTTGCAATAGTTTGCTTGTGGATAGGCCTAAATTTTAGAGAAGGATAAATGCTGTCCTGCTTCTTGAATGGTAACATTTAATATTCTTAATTAATTAGATAGAAACCCATGGCAAAACATTTTATTAATTGTATGTAGGGCAAAGGACTGATTATAGATAGTTAGGGAACAAGGTAAGTTATAGATAAAAGAATAGCATAATTCTTAAAACAACTAAATTCCATGAATGAACTTGGTAATATTCAACTTAAAAGCATTTCTCTTGTAGTACTCAGTTTTTACTGATATAGAGAATCGGAGAACATATCATCTGAGTTATATAGCTCATTTTTAATAAATTGATAAATAAATTATGTAGCAAGAATAAACTAATGTTAATGTCATTGTTGTATAATTACTGTAGCATTTGCTTTATTTTTAAATCAGTTTGGCTGGCTAAGGTTACTTAGGTTTATGTAGGTAAACCATTCTTCTTCTTTTTGTTTTTTTTCGTTGTCCGTCACATAACAACCACCATGACTCAGAATGAAAAAAAAAAAAAGACCTAGGAAACTTTATCCTTTAGTTCCAATGCAATTTTCTTGATATGCTTTACCTTGTTCTATTACTTTCAATTCTCTTCAATTGTTCCTCAATATTTATCAAATAGAAAACGCTGAACTTAGGCAGTCTTGATTCGTTGATCCTAAAAATACTTCATAAACACAAGTGATTTTGAAATCACTATTTGTTATCATCAAAACTATCTTAATATAATTTGATATTCTTGGGGTCATCGCTTGCAAATGTCAGATTAGCAAAAAAAAAACTTTTATATTATACGGCAAAGAAACATGTAAATGTATGAATCAATAATTACCAGGACTTAATGGGCTTGTTTTGAAGCTCTCTTGGAGCGAAGAGAAACAAGGTTGGTTTATATGAAGCCACTTGGCTAAATCTATAGTAGGCAAAAACTGACTTCATTAATTATTTTGCTCATAACTATTTGTCTGTACGTCTTTTGTTCTCCTTACTATTTTAGCATATATTGTTTTTAAGAAGAATGGGACTTTATATCCTAGAGTGCTAATGCGTGCTACCATCTTGATTTGTTGTATAGTACCGTACTTAGGTAGGTCTTCTTATGCATGATTCTATGGGTGTGCTAGAATGGCACTTCCCTACCAATTAGAATTTGTTTGAACTTGGAAATGCCTTCCAGCTGTGGCGACAATTTTAAGTGAACTGCACAATTAAACATCTGTCATGGGAATTGCATGCTTTAATGGATTAAATAATCTTAAAGGGTTTTGTAGAATTTTTAAGCATAATGCCATTTAAGTTTCCATTATGCAAGGCTCATCTTTACATTTAACTCACCTATCCTGCCATTAGATCATCAGAGTTACGATGTACTAAATTCTACATAAGGTGTTTTCCAATAACTCATCATAGCATTTTGGTCACCTCTCGCATCACTTACTACACTCACATATTTGGTCAATGGTGAATGACGCATCATAGTGCAAATGTTCTGTAGAGCCATAGCACATGGTGTGGCGTACGTCATTTCAAATATGGGGCAAAATATATAAAAAAATCATATAATTATGAAATAATATTAAATATTTTAAAAAAATCAAATGACATGTTAACAAAACTTGCATGAATAATGCTTAAATTCGAGTGCTCATTGTTTCAATTACATAAAATTTAAAATATTATAATTTTTGTACAAGTCTAAGATTTTCCTAAACAATTAAATTTATTATCTTAAGAATTGTTTACGTCATCATAAATTTAACAAATCTTATTTCTTTATCAACATCATTATAATCTCATGAAGCATAATCTTCATTATTGCTCTCATCAAGCGAATGGAGCTCATTATCATGCGAATGACATAATGTGGGCAAATTTTTGCTCCATATATGCATATGTGTGTGTATGTGATGTGAAAGTTATATCGCTCAATTCTTATATATTTACATATTCAACACTTATAATATGACATTTACATATATAACATTTTATGTCATAATCGCGTTAATACATATTCATGAAAAAGATCTATCTTTTTTTAAAAAATTAGTATTAATATTTTATGTGCTATTTAATTAAATATGAAAATTTAGATGTTAGATATGCACATATATATATCAAATAAATTGTATGTACACAAATTTTCAGATACCTGAGTTGACCCAAACCACGACTTTAATATATGAATATTATTGTTGTCTCTAATTGATGTTATAATAGAACTCTAGGTAAAGAGAACAACCACCCAAAGCAACAGTACACGATAAAAGCAAACACACAACACAAAAAGGACGACACAAACAAACATGACGAGTAGGAAATCCAGAGCAGAGGATTATAGAGAGCTGAGGTCTTGTTGGGAAAATGCTGGCAGCAGGCTGGAGGGAGGAAGAAGCTGGGGTGCAGCTGATTGGGTGCATGGAGGAGGCTGGACAGTGGCCTGCATTGGTGCAAGGGGGAGCCTGGGAGCTTTTAGGATATTAGAGTCAGGGAGCAGCAGCGGGAAGAGGAAGGTCAACCCAGACAATGCTGAGAAGGGGTATTGCGGCTGCTGGGAGGAGCAGGAGGGACTGCTGAACATGCAGGAGACGAAGAACAACAGCGGGGAGGCCGACCAAGAGACTTTTGGGAGCGGTTGGAGGCAGCAACAGTCGACATTGCTGGGGAAAAGGTGCGATGGCTTGTTATAGTGTTGGGAAGCGGGTTGGCAGTAGTAAGAAGGGTGGAAGGATAAATAAGCAGCTTGGCAGGGTTGAGCTACAATCGGAGCACCACCTGTACCCGTGGAGACGATCAGCTTGGCAGGGTTGAGCTACAGTCGGAGCACCAACCGTACCCGTGGAGACGATCATCACCTTGAACGAGGTTCAACCGAAAAACTATCTCAATGTCGGATACAACCCTCGAAGAGAAAATACCAAGGTTAAACTTGAATTCAGATATCAAAACAAGACCACTCACTCTAAGCACACCCTCCTCTATGAGGCTAGGATTTTATTTTAGGCAACACTTAAATTGTGGAAATTGACTAATATATCAAGTTATGAAAACTTTTAAATGTCAATATGCATCATAACAGATATTGAGACTATAATGAAACTAGAAAGCAAACCATACAAATATGATGTCTATAAAAATGATCAAACTTTTTTAAAGAAAACTAATTAGAATGACTTAAAGACCAGTTTTGATGGAATTGTAGGTTTTAAGGTTTCATTAATTAGATTGTTAAATTTTGAGAGTTCTTAAAGACATTTATTATTAACAAACTTATTGAAATATTGATGGAACTTTAATCATTTCCTTCAAATGTTTTTTTTTGGGTATTGAATATGTATTCAGTTTTTCTTTGATGGAGAAGTTCAGAGATAACAAGGAAAATCTACATTTGATTTTTATTGATTTAGAAAAAGCTTACGATAAGGTTCCAAGAGATATCCTTTGGAGAGTTCTTGAGAAGAAAGGTGTTGATATGACTTATATTCAAGTCATTAAAGAATCTATACTAGAGCTGTTACTTGTGTTTGAACTGAAGGAGGATTGACCTAATATTTTCCTATTTCTGTTGGTTTACATCAGGGATCAACTTTAAACCCATATCCTTTTGCTTTAGTTATGGATGGTCTTACTAGACATTTACAGGAGGATGTACCTTGGTGTATGCTTTTTGCTGATGATATCCTTCTCGTGGATAAGACGAGAGAAATAGCCCAGGAAAACTTGAATTAGGTCAACATTAGAGTCTAAAGGCCTTCATTTGAGTAGAACTAAAACTAAATATATGGAATGTATTTTTAGTAGTAGTAGCTCTAGTGACAGCAGTGTAACTTTGGGTGATCAAATTATTAAAAGGTGTGAACGATTTAGATATCTTGGGTATGTTGTTCAAGAATTCATGTTGGTTGGTTGAAGTGGAGGAATGCTTCGGGCCTATTGTGTGATAGAAAAGTACCACTTGGGTTGAAAGGAAAATTTTATAAGATGATGGTGAGACTTGCAATGCTCTATGGCGCTGAATGTTGGCCTTTTAGAGAGAAGCATAACTCTTTTTTAAGTGCTGCTAAGATGAGAATGATTAGGTGGTTGAGTGACTTTACACTTAGAGACAAAATGCGTAATGATTATATTTGTGATAGGGTTGGTTTAGCTTTTATGGCGGACAAAATTAGAGAAAGTTGTCTTAGATGGTTTGGTCACATTAAGCGTCGACCATCTGATGATTCGATTAGGAGAGTTGATGTTTTAGATTCAACTTATGTTAAGAAAGGCAGCGGTAGGCCTAAGAAGACTTGGGCTTATTGTATTATCTTAATTTATTAGTACTAAATGAAAATATGACACTAAATAGGACGCAATGGAGAAAAATGATTCATTTAGCCGACCCCACGTAAGCCGACCCCAATTTAGCCGACCCCACGTAGTGGGATTAATGCTTTGTTATTGTCGTTGTTGTTTTTTTGGGTATGGGGATAAGAAACCAATCGTTTAAATTTGTTTAATATAGAGGATTTTTTCAAAAACTATAGGACTTAATTCATTGATTACTTTTATTACTTTGTCAATTTTAGCAAAATTAATAGATTTAGGTTCACATTTTAGGATAACTTCAAAATTTTATTAGAAATTTAGATTATTCAACAGGAGAGTCAATTCCCGTGAGTATAAACTCACAATCAAGATTAGAATCTAATTTCATTTATAGTTTAGGTTTGGATATAATCATATGTTATTTTTTCAGTTTTACAGTTTTTTCTAAAGAAGGTTTGCATTCAAAATTAATTCATGCTTAAAATCAATCTCAATTTTTTCTTGTTACTCTTGCTCAATGTTAGATTTCTCTTAGAAATTCAACTTGTAATACGTCTTCATGCTCAACTTCAATTTCAAACTCTTGTTTAAGTATAGGTTCAAGTTTATGATTAGGTTTTATTGCAGAAGATTCATATTGAATAAAATTAGATTTAGATTCATAGTGCAATGATAAATCATTTATCACATTTAATACATCTTCTAAAGAATATTTCGCAAACTATAATTTCTTCAACAATATTATTATTGATTGTGTATATTTCCTGTGATAGTTTATGCTTAGCAAACCTTAGAGGATAAATTAATCGTTTTTTGCATAAATTTTATGCATTTTTAGATATTGTTCTATTGCAATGATTATAATGTCTCAATAATCATAGATTGGGATAAGCTATAGATAGTTTTGTTCGTAAATTAAAAATTATTTTATTCCTAGTATGACCTTTAATGAACCGGATAGTGGTAAATCTTTATGCAGGTCTTCATAATACTAAAATACATACGGTCCCCTTGGTTTATAATGCTTATATTACTCATGCATGCAATTGATCCGTAATGACGAAAATTGTTCTTTAAGTTTATGCTTAAAATTAGTTCATGTAAGTTTAGTTTCACTTAACACACTTCACCAAATGAGTAAACATGCTCCACCAGTTTTGATTCAATAATTTCAGATATTTAAAAATAATGAAAATGATATCGTTCGGAGAAAGCTGTCAAATCATAGACCCTAAGGTTATACACTTTGTTGAAGGAAGGAATATAATTTGGAACATAATAACAATGTTATCCTCATATAAACCTATCACTTACTTGATTTCATTTAGATTGAATTATTTTTTTTATTTTGTTAATTGATCTATCATATCCTTATTTATTTTAGATGACATAATGGCCTGCCCGAAGCTCTAATATCAAATTGATATATAATGTTTTAGGGTCTAGGGTTTTTAATGCAAACTCACGATGTGATGCACCAAAAAGCAAAAATTTACAATTCATTGTTTCTTTACTTTTAATGTAGACAAAAAGAAATATCATGTGATGCAAGATTAGAAAACATGCACAATTCACTTAAATAGCAATTTTGGAGTCAAATAAAAAAAAAATCACAAAAAAATTAAAATAAATAGATTTCACAAAAATTTAGGATTCACACACACTAAGAAAACCCACATGTAATGAATTTGATGAAATTTAATTATGCATGCAAAACTAGTTACAAATTAGTTGGATGAAAAGATAAATGATATAAGTTATCAAATTGAAGATCCTGGCCCTCAGTTTGTTGCAAGGAGCATACCCTGTAAGTTTTTGTCAAGACTTGTCAAGAGCTCGTAAGATGCCTAAAAAGTTGAATAAGTTGTGTAATTTGAAGCAGCTACAACTCATTTATTTATGAAATTTACTGTTCGACATTTTATGTTCTTGATATGATTTTTGCTGATTTTATTTAGTACATTTTAAAATTCATTTTACGTTTTGGTTTTGATCTTTGTTAAGTGTTAGTTGATAGTTTTCATAATTTTCTTCTTCGTGTTGAGGTCTATATTTAAACAATTACAAATGTTTTTTGTTTTTATCACAAATTTTTTACGAGGAAGCAACAATCAAACTAAAAAATACATCAACACTTGCCACACTTGGATCATTCCCATTATTATTAATCTTATACCTACTCTATGTGGTCAACTTTATCATCTATTCTGCACTTTGTATCATCATCATCATCATCATCATAGATTCTACTGATGCTTATGTTAATTTTTGGTGTGGACACATAAAATGGCGAGAATAACAAGAATCAACAAAAATTTTATGATGATTTAATGAATAATGGCTTACTTTATTCCTCTCAAGGTTGAGTCTCACCATCCTAAATCAGTATTCTTTATCCTAACTATTTGAATTGCATCTACCTCATGTCACATGCTCCCATACCTCTACTAGCTCTTGGGTCTTGCACCCACCCAGTGCTAGTATGTTTGTCTGTCTCATTTGTTAACTTGTGCTCGCATTCACTCCAATCTCGATGCCTGCTTCCTTGCTGGCCTGCCTGCCATCTCTCACATGTGCCAGCACTATTGCTGACCTACATTCACAATCTCGTTCCTGAAGATTCAGATATTTTCTTAATTGAAGTATGCGAGTAGGCTGAAATCAAATTGGCTTCTATATAAACCCAATGCTCTTCAGAATCATGATTTAAGATATCAATTACGTTATTTACGTGGGTTCATTGAGAATTCTTTTTCTTAACATTGAAGATGATGGCATTGAAATCAGCTTAACTTAATCTATCATGTTCTTTTGAAGTTTTTGTTTTATGTGCCATCAGTTAACAATAATATTCGATTTAATTTCTGGATATAATCCCAGACCATTTTGATCTCTCTTATACAATAATAAACTCTGCTTTACTTTTTTATTTTTATTATCAAATGGTTTTGCTTTATTTACATGAAATCGAAATCTTGACATCTGCTAGTAATGTTTGCAAATATGCTTATCCATGAAATTCGCAATATTTCACATGACTGTTCTCCATACTGTCTTTTCACGTAGCTACGACTGGCTGCTATATCCAAATTTCAGTATTTTTGCGCTGTGTTATTACTTTCGAAACATTATTAGCTTATTTTTATGATGATTCTTTTGAGATTTTGTAGCTTGTAATATTCTTCAGAATCTTTTTCATTATACAAACTTATATCATGACATGTACTCCTTTTTTGCATAGTTTCCTTAAATTTTATTTCTCTTTATTCCCATTAATTACTATAATGGTTTACTTCTCAGGATAAATACTTCTATTCTATTTTATTATTGCGTATTGCTCTTTCTGAAAACATTTATTTATTTATTTTTCGGGTTATGTTTACAGAAAGCTCTCCAAGAACTGTACCCCCTCCAAGTGATGATTGGAGGTCTGCATTTGATGCTGCGGCAAACGGCCCGTCCTCGGAGTCATTTCGATCAAACAGCATGAATGGGAATAGCCGGCGTTATGGCGAGCCATCACAGAATGGCGAGGCAAGCTCAGGCCCCAACTCCAGCAGCCGTCGCACCCCAAATCGGTTGCCTCCCGCTCCTCCTCCTAATTCATCGGTGTACAAATACTAGGTAGCCATTTATGTTCTTATTATTGGCTGCGTGTTTGCCAATATTTTTTGTTGGGTTTACGGTTGCTATCTTTGGTTATTTTCATTTTTCCTGTTCAGGCTTGGCAATTAGACCTGGCATGAGGGAAAGGGAAATTTCTGTAACGGTAAACAACCCCTACATTATCTATAATCCAGATATTTCATGATGCTGCGCGTTTGTTAAGGTTTAGATTTATGCCAAAAATTCAGCCTTGTTTTGTTGGGTGGTATCATTTTTTTCATTTTTTTTTTAGCACCATGACCTTGAAAATTTTCTCATCCATTAAAATATTTGTGCTAACGCTGTCTCTCAATCAATGTAATTCCATTCATTTTGTATTATTACATTTTTTTTTGCATGATAGTCCTTTTGCCTTGTATATTCTCCTACATTTTTTTGCATGTTAGTCCTTTTGCCATGTACCGCTAAGTTTTTTCTGAATTGCAAAAGTGGTTTGGCGTAAATCACTTGGAGATGGGGGGAGGAAGCTCCATACACATTAGAGGAAGAAGATACGACGAGCCTTGGGGTCCGTTTGGGGCGGCTTAAAAGTGAGGGCGGCGTTTTGAAAACGCCGCCGTAACGTTTGGTTAGCACTTATTGCCGGATTATTCAAACTGGCGTTTTGATATTTGTGAGTGACGCGGACCGTGGGATGACATTTGAGAAAATAATAAATATTATTAAATTTTTTTGCATTTTCATGTGTGACATTTGAGAAAATAATAAATTTTACTACACAGATTATTAATTTAACTAAAAAAATTTGCAAATAAGTTGTTTATCAAAAGCACAAACCAAACATATAAACAACTTATTCAAAATAGGAGCAGAATGATCATTTTTTTAGAATAAGTTGTTTTTCATACGCACAAATAAAACAGTCATACAGTTTATTCGGATCAGCTGCTCATCAATAGATTATCAGAACCAGCTGTTTATCAGCAGAAGTTGGATAAGCTTCAGCTGCCTCACACAGAGCCTAATTATATAAGCTTGCTTAGTTAAGCCATTCTGAATGTGGGAACCGAAAAGAGATATAGGGAGTTGTCCACCAAGTTTTCAGAGGTAGTTGGCAGCGATGAGATTCTTTGTCAAATTGACTTGGAAGAAAAGTTTAAGAGTGCCATGAAGCTTCTCTTTTAAAATAGTTCCAAAACGTTATCATAGATACATCTTTGGGCAATGAAGGCCTGTTAAGCCTTGTTAATGATCTATGGAATAATGTGGCTGTGAAATGAATGCTTAGGCAAATGACCTAGTTTTAAAAAGGAATTATAGATAATATAATTGTACATATTTTTTTTATAAAGGAATTGCAAACCAAAAATGATTCATCCAATCACTTCTAGTATTTGATAGTTATTTTATTGTAGTGGATAGGGATATTGATCAAAGATATTAAATACTCGAAATATATTAAATAGCTAATAAAAAAAATATTTAGTACTCAAAATTTTTTAATTTAGCTAAAAATAGGGCCAAAGAACATCCGAGGCACTTGCTACAAGAAAGCTAATTGAATGTGATAATCAACCCCTCGATATAGCCAATTCAAGGAAGTTCTAAGTCCACAGTTTCTCTGACTATCCTATGAAGACTCTAAATACCCTTTATCAGGAATCGAAGATAGTCAACCATGTTGGATCAGTCGATCAAACTATATTGATCAAACTCAACCGATCGAGCTGACCCCGTCAGTCGAAGTCAACTAAATTTATTCGATCAAGTCAGAATGTAGTCGAGTGATAGGTTCATACTTGTAAAATACCAACAATGCCTTAGTACATACCTCATCTAAATGAGACAAAAAAGTAATATCACAATTGTAATATGTCTTCTATAAATAGAAGAGACATTTTTATGAAGAATGCACTATTCATCTTTGCATTCTTTCTCTCTCGTACTCTTCTAATTTATGCTCTTGTACATTCAAAAGTGGAATACACGGATCTTGAAGTAATTTGAAGGTCCAGATCAAAAGTTAATAAAGCCAACAGGCTAGAGAATTGTTAACCGACTCACAACTAGTTGACTGAATGAAGGTCCAACTAGGTCGACCAAAAGTAGATAATTTCCAACAGCCTAACAATAATCTAGTAGCTCCGACAACCTCACAAGTATTAATATAAAGCTGTCTCTATAACTCCTCTAAAGTTCTCCAAAAATCACCCAGAAACAAGCAAACTCTCTGAACATCCTAAAATTAACCAACTGTCTCTCTCAAAGCCGGCCGACTTTCCAAAGCGAAGACCGACTGGTACCCAAATAAGATATCCAAAGACCCGCCAACCAAATTGTCCCGAAACATAAGAATATGTAAAATTGGTTACAAATATAAAAATAATATTAATATTATGTAAATCTCATTAAAATTGGAGCAAATGTTGTAATCTCCTACTTTCTGAACCAATCATCGCTTAATTATTCAAAAACTTTCCAAGCCAGGCATCTAATCCATTCCCAAAACAAATAACTTCAAACCAACGCAACAGACTCCTCCCTCCCACGTGTCCACACTCGCTTACACGTGTCAAAACACCCATCCCACGTGTCCACCTCCCCCATCCTCCCCCATCCCTATTTCATCTCCCCCTCCCTCCTCCCTTCCCCTCCATCCCATCCATGGACACCTCCACTCTCCGGCAACGCCCCAAAAACTCAGATGACAAACGCGCCATTCGCGAAAAAAAGCTTGTCAAAGCCAAACGCGGCCTCCGCTCCCTCTCCATCGCCGTAACTCTCCCTCTCATCTTCTCCCTCCTCTCCTCCTTCCTCTCCCCTCCCCTGCCCCCGCACAGCAACACAGAAGAAACAATATGGTGGTACCCGCCCGCATGGCTGATCCATGCGGCCTCCGCTGTGACGTCAGGCCTGATGGGCTTAGCGGCGTGGCTCTTCTGGGCGGAGGGCGGCATGAGGAGAAGCGCCGGGGCAGCGTGTGCGGGTGCGGGTGGGGTGGGGGTGGCGGTGGCGGGCGCGCGGGTGGCAGCGTTGGTTGCTTGCGGCAGCTCGTTCCGGCGCGTGAATCCGTTTGCGGGGAATTTGGTTACTCCGTGTGCTGCGTGGGCGGCCTTCGCGGTTTTCCTTAGTTATAAGTTGATGTGATGTGTGATGTGTGTGTATGTATGAAGTTGGAGAGCATATGTGAAATGAAATTGGTGTGGATTTTGGGTTTGGAAATAAGGCTTAAGCCCGGTTAAAAAAAAATTTGATTTGAAATTTTGGATGAGTGTTCGTGTTCGATCTCGAATCGAGTTAAAATTTAAATTTTTGAGTTTAATTTATTTAACATATAATCTTAACATTATTATGGCTGTTAAAGATTCGATCTTGAGTTGGAGTAGGTTTAAAAAAATTTGATTTGGGATGGTGGCTTGATTCGTTTATTTTGATTTGAGTCACAATTCAAATCAATTTTTGAAAATTTAAAGATCTTCGAGTTTAATTCATAGTCATGGCGATGGTGTTTTCTAAATTTTCTTATTTAAAGAAAAGAGTTTATTTTTATATTTGAGTAGGACCTGCAATTGCAATTACTAATGCAATGTTTGTGAAAATTTGAAATTGGAAAATTAAATATTTTAATGCAATGCTTCTTTTTAAAAAATAAATTTGCTTATGAAAATAAAATATAGTTGGTAAATCAAAATATAATATATAATTTTTTTTATTCAGATTGTATGAGAAATTTTGAGGATTTAGTAAATCTATTCATGTCACATTGCTCTTGGATTTAATTAAATATGAATTTAAGTGGAGGAGAAGGAAGATTTAGGATTCTAAATTTGAAAATTCTTGAAAATTCCTACATACATTTACATAACTCTTGTATGGCTAGGTTTCATAATTCCAAGTATTAGTTTACTCCTACATACCGTTGTAATTACACACCCACAACGGTGGTTTGATGGCAACGATAGATGGGTAATGGCACCAACTGTCAGACAAAAGTGGTCCAGTGGTAGCCACAACATTTCGATGACGGTGGTAAGAAAGTAGTAGTTGATGAAGAGCTCTTAATAGTGGTGGTCTTGTGACGATGATGGTGGTGGCTAAACAACGGTGATTCGACAGTGGCGATGAGCACACAACGGTTGCTCGGTGGTGGTGGTGGTGGTGATGGTGATGGCTGCACAATGATGGTCTAGCAATGGTAGCCCCTTGACGCTAGTTGCCTGATGATGATGGTGGTTGTGGTGGCTGGGTAGCGGTGGCGGCTCGATGAAAATGGTCTGGTGGCGATGTCGATGTTGGTGGTCTGGTGTCGTGGTTCGACGGTTGGTAATGACACCGTGGTTTAATAATGATGGGTTGAAAGCCTGATGTTGGTGGTTCGATGGGGATGATAATGGTGTCTCAAAAGTTGTGGTTCAACGGTGTGCTAACTCTATTTTACAGGATGATCGTTCTGGCCACTCAAGACATGGCTCAAGTAATCAACCTTAACTGAACAAAATTCTTGGATAGCTTGACATCAACTACTCTTTGAATAGAAAAGAATGGCATTCCTTTCCTTGACATTATCTATGAATTCTCTGAGAAAAAAATCAAACTTTAATCGAAAATTTTCTTAAATAATTATGGATTATTTAAGATGTGATTAACTATAGGGAATGTATTATTTAAGATGTAATTAACTATAGAGACTTGTCCCTATAGAAAGTTGTAGACCCCGAAATAAGTACATAAACCTGATATGATTCTTTCGTAAGAATTCATTGGTAACAATGAAATCTTTATGAAAGCCCCTTAGACATTTATTTGTTTTCTTTATTATTTGCCTTACTTCCCTGTTTTCTCCTCTCTTATATCCATCAACATAGTATGAGTTGGAAGAATTCAGGAAAGTAGGCAACATAACGATAAACAAATTGACGACTCCTCAATACCGATATCAACAAACGACATAATCGAAAAAGAATTGGCGACGTCGGTAACATTCCAACGACGACAACTGGAAACTTTATTTGGGTTGACTCTCTCTAAAGGTAATTCAACATTGCTGATAATTATTTAGATATGTCTCATAAAATGGTTTTGACATTAAGAATCATACCTACTATAACATGTATTATCAACATCACTGATCCCACCAGTTCGTTATAAAATATTCATATAATTTACCAATCAAGTAGGGCATGGTGTGGGTATTGCCTAAAAAGCTCATTAAATCTTTCTCAAGCCTCATAAATAGAATCATTATCCATTTGGACGAAGGATGTAATTTGATTTGTTTGTTTGGCCATTTTGGATAATGAGTAATATTTAGCAAGGAATTTTAATGCATGTTCGTTCCAAGTTATGATAAACTCAAAAGATAAAGATTTAAGCCACATTTTAGCTTTATCCATAAGGAAAAAAAAAACTTAAGCTTAATAACATCATTTGAGATGTATTTATACCTAATAATAACACCTATATCTAAAAAGCTTGTTGTGTGTAGAGTTGGTTAAGGTCTTTTGCTTTTGTACCTCCAACTAATTATTTTGTACCATTTGCATTATTGCATGTTGGTATTAGCTTGAATGGTTCGTCGATTGATAGTTTGGTGTTATTTCTCTACCATATGATTAACAAAATCTCCAAGTAGTATTGGATGGTCATTCACTCCTTGAGAGTTTTCCATCATTCCCCCTGAAGTATTTTTGATATATTTTGATTTATAAATTTTTAGTAGTTCTTTTAATTTTAGGGCTAAAATGTATTAAATGATCACTTTAAATCCTATGCATATAGCTTAAGACAAACTAGCAATCCTAAACTAACAAATATGAATAATGAACAAAAATTATAAAAATAGGAGAGACAATAATAAATACAGGTATAAAGTAAGCTACACAAGACACAAGTAGGCGTTGCAACTCTATTGAGACAACATTGTTGTATTAGCAAGGTAGCACTACAATGCTATTCAGACAACATTGGGAAGTTAGCAAGGTAGCATTGTGATGTCACTCTATAAAAATTTCCTTTTTCACAAAAAAACAATAACTAAGTTTTCACAATTTGAACACAATAAAGATGCAATAATACATGGTACTAAAAATAAAATAAGTAATGACACAATAAACACTACAACAATGAGCTTAAACTTTAAATTTTCAACTAATATTAACCTACATCCATAAATTAATTTTATTTTATGAAAAAAGTGTAAAAAATTTGATCCACTGTGCAGTGATGCATAAGTCAGTCATGCAAGTACACGTATCTATCAAGTAGTGCTTAGATTTTTAAGTCTGAGTTATCAATCTCACAAGGAATATGTTTTTCTCAAATTAACTTAATTACAATTATATTAATCCTTAATTTAATTCGAAGGCTTACATTTTTGAAAATGTTTCTCTAACTCTTAACTTCAAAGGTCATGATGTGGTGCTATGTCGCTACCACTGGGTGCAATAATGTTTGATCCAAGCATCGTGTTTCATAATAAATGGCACTACCTTTTAGGGCATTGAATGTGCAGTGGGGTGTTTGGTTCAAGCGTCATAGTGTCGCGCTCTCATGTTTTCTACTCTAGAATTCTAACATTGGGAGTCATGACGTTGGGGGCTATCAAAACGAGCACCATGATGTTATATACTTGACCTTAGGGTGTTGGGTTGAAATTTACAGTTGTCCTCTTAAGAATATGTTCTATTTGTACCAAAATGATTAAAAAAGATCTTACCAGGCCTATAAAGCTAATACCAAAATTGTTCCCCATATACCTCTAAATGATTATAAAAGATCTTACTAGACCTATCTAATCATCATATCCTCCACCCTTTTATTAGCTTGACTATTTATACTTAACTTTGGCACTCCAACTCTCATAATAATAGGATGAGAAGTTCACCTACATTTAAAGATCTACCATTATTGAGACAAGACTATGACATAAATTGATTTATTTCCAGAAAAAAACTGATTTGTAATATATGTTATTTATGAAAAGCACTCCAACTCTCATAATAGGATGAAAAGTTCGCCTACATTTGAATATCTATCATTATTGAGACAAGACTATGGCATAAATTGATTTATTTCCAGAAAAAAAACTGATTTGTAATATATGTTATTTATGAAATTTTAGAAGGCATGCCCTAATAATGATAAATACATTTCCCCTTTTTATCCAATCAAGAAATTAGATTGATCCGACGGCAAAGGCATGCATGAAAATAACCCTAATAATGATAAATACATTTCCCCGTTTTATCCAATCAAGAAATTAGATTGATCCGACGGCTGGGATTGTCCCATCTTCGACCCACTTGATAGGCCGGCTGAACCTAGACCATGCCCTAATCCTTCGCCGCGCTCGGATTCCTTCTTTAAAAGGTGCGCCGCAGGCTCCGGAGAAGCAACCAGCCGTTGAATCCGAGGCTCGATCTCGGATTCAGCAGTTCAACGATTCAAATCCCTCGAGTGATCCGCTTCCCTACGGTCTTATTTGCAGGTTATTCTTCAACTTTCTCCCTCTTTCTTGGTTCCCAAGATCTCTCTCTTTCGTCTTGATATTCGACGGAGTACGATCACGATAGTGTTATTTTTGGTTTTTAATACTTTTGATGTGCTAGGGATTCGAGATGTGTGGCGGATCTTTGAATTTTGTTGCCGTGCGATTTTTTTTTTTTTTTTTTTTTTTTTTTTATTTGTCCCGTGCAAGTAGAGAATGATATGGTCTGTTGATGCAATTTTTATTTGTCCCGTGCAAGTAGAGAATGATATGGTCTGTTGATGCAATAAAAATCATTCATTTCGTTAAATTATTGATTTGAATGCTGGCATGCGATGTTTTTGAACATAATAATAGTGTACTGTAAGGATTTGGTAGTAGTTTCTTATGGTGCTTCAAAACACAGGCTCTCTTCCTATAGCATATTACACAGGATGTAGATGATGGATATTTGAACTCAACTTTGAATCGATCAAGGTGTGATTTGTTACACATCGGTTACCTTGTTATTTGATAATTAATTAAATTTTAGAATGATGTATTGCAAATGGATCTCTTTTGGATGTTAAAATTCTAATTCTACATGGTACCATTCTGCTTTCATATAAACTATCTGGTGTATGCTATGGATTTAGTTCCGATAATTTCCCCTTAAATTTATGCCCCAAAGTGGGTTTATACTCATTTTGTTATTGAAGCATTGTTTGTGTATCAAAGGATTTTATTTTAAGAATATGGAAAGGTGTGTGGTGCTAATATGTGACATTATGTTCTTAGTAACATCTGTTCTGCTTTAATCATGGTACATAGGGTTCGGTTCTTTTCCTTTGGTGCCAATTTTCACCACTATACAAGTGAGTCGGTCAGGCAAACTTAAACATGTGAAGGGGGATCCCTTATGCTTTTCCAAGCTCCAGTATAGAATAATAACATTTGATTTGTGATAGAACCTCTATACTAATTATCATATAGTAATATTAAATAATAAATAAATTTACCAATACATGGAATGATAAGTTGATGGTGACTCTATTAGAACATTTTACTTGTTGGAATTACAACTAAATCTGTATATGCGTGTAGTTTTCTATTTGTACCTGGCCTTTAAACGTGCTGTAGCAGTTTTGGGTGTGGGATATTTTCAAGTTGACCTTGATATCAGGGGACTATGTCCTTTTTTTGCTTAGACAACTTTGCATGATTTATTTCTCTCATTTTGAGAAGCCTGGTTTGATTAAAGTGTACAGTGAATTTTTTTAAAATCGAGCAAATAACTAATAAAATTTATTTAAGTGTTTTTCTGATCACAACTTTTTTTTTTGTTATAGCCTAGCAAAGTCATCTAATCAAATGAATATTTTAAGTAGTTTTCACTCGAGTCAATTCTCTTCACATATACAGTAAAGTTATTATTGTTGTTACTTAGAATATTATTTTACATTTTAATGCATAAGCATCCGCTTGTTTCATTTCATTTCCTTTATTTTGCTTTTTTGTCGCATGGGCAAATAATTGCAAAAAAATGTCAAGGCTGGGTTTTATTATTGCAGTCTTTTTTTTTTGTCATGTCCCAATCAAAGGAATTTGATAAAGCCAATGATTTCCAGGTGGCCTTTTATGTTTTTATAATAGCTTTCATATGTATCCATTCCGAAAACATATCTAGTAGAATTATTATATAGGTATTTGTCTGAGGATTATTTTGCATTTTCATGCCTGTGCATCTTTTATCTCATTTAATTTCTTTTATTATGCTTCTTTCATGAAATTTGTTTTTTATATATTCATTGGTTACTTCAGTTATTGTTTTTTGGATTATGGGTTGAACATTATGTAATTTTATTACTTTCTGATTGTTTCCATTTCCTCTTTGATAAATTTAGCTATCATTTTTTCCATTTTCTTGCAGACATGGCTGGATTGGCGCCAGAAGGATCTCAGTTTGATGGTGCAAAATATGATTCCAAAATGGATGAAGTGTAATATATCTCCTCAATTTTTTAGTTCGTTCTTCTATTTTTACCATAGGGCATGTTTTTATGATTTTGCTTCATTCATGTTATAATTTTATTTTTCATTCTTCTTGGATGAATTAGACTTGCACCACAAGAAGGACAGGATTTCTTCACACCATATGATGAGGTATATGAAAGCTTTGATCACATGGGCCTCCAAGAAAACCTTTTGAGAGGCATTTATGCTTATGGTAGCTCCCTAACTATAAACTAAGCTAACTTCATGGTTTAGTTGTCTTTTAATTTTGACATGACTTTTTCCCTTATATAGGTTTTGAGAAACCATCAGCAATTCAGCAGAGAGGAATTGTCCCCTTTTGCATGGGACTTGATGTCATTCAACAAGCACAATCTGGAACCGGTAAAACTGCAACTTTCTGTTCTGGAGTTCTGCAACAACTTGATTATGGACTAGTTGAATGCCAAGCCTTAGTTCTTGCACCAACCCGAGAGCTTGCTCAACAAATTGAAAAGGTCATGAGGGCACTTGGTGATTACTTGGGTGTTAAAGTTCATGCTTGTGTGGGAGGAACTAGTGTTCGTGAGGACCAAAGGATCTTGTCTGCTGGTGTTCATGTTGTTGTTGGCACACCTGGGCGTGTGTTTGATATGCTGAGAAGGCAATCTCTCCGTCCTGACTACATCAAGATATTTGTTTTGGATGAGGCTGATGAGATGCTCTCACGGGGTTTCAAAGATCAGGTTCTACAATCTTCTCTTTAGTGAAACATCGTCATCATTATTCTTTGATCAACCAAGGAGATATTTCTAGTTTATGATGTTTGTGTTAAATCTACAAAATAATAATTAAACATTAAATTTTAGCATATTAGCTTTTTTTAGAAATCTAATATTTAATTTTTCATTTGCTTGGCTCTACTCTGTATACACTTTTATGCAATATCCATGTGTTTGATTATATGACGCTGCATGTGAGAAGTTGAGTTGGTAAAGAGAGAACCTTGAATGCCTTGACTGACTTCTTAGAACATCACAAAACTAATCAAATATGTAGTATAATAGGACAGATGTTTTTTTGTAAAATTTCTAAAGAGAAACTATGGTGCCCAACACATTTAAGCATCAATCACTATTTGTAAAAAATTAATGCAGGTGGTCCACCGCTAAGTGATTAGAGAGATCTTAGTGCAATTAGAGATATTAATCTAAGGCACCAAGGTAGGTTCCCATGTGTGTTGATTGTAAGAATTGTGGACGCATTGCATGATAGATGCTATGATGTGATTTGGGCAGCCATAGTATAAACATGGTTGAAGATGACAGTGGTCAAGCTTGTGGAACATGACAATGGGATAGGTCTTGTTAGAGATGACTACATAACATGACTTGGCAGATGCTATTGAAGTTAGGGTCTATTTGTTAGACTGATATGATTTCTTAAAGGGTGTGATTGTGGCACATGCAAGCTTGTGGCGCTAATCATGATGTATTGATGAATGCAAACTAAACAATGTTGCATGTAGGTCCCGAAGGACATGAGTACAAAGTAAATGAGGTTAAGTGACATATTTCATGCTATACATCTTTTATCCCATTGAGATCAAATGATCATAAATTTATTTTTTGGCTCAAACATGTTTACTTATTTTAATATGTTTCTACTTTTTTTGGTGGATTTTTGCTAGTATTTTGAAGATTTTAATTCTAGAAGACTTGTTTTATTTGTGTTTAATTTTTTTATTATACATAAATAATACTGTGGGGCTTATGCCCGACGCCTTGGGCCTTTCACTTCGCTCAATAACACCTAAAATGCCTAACAACCACGTCTTTTAAAACATCAGATCCAATAAAAAAATTTTATTTTTTTATTTTGCATGTGTCCACAAATGTTAATAGATGATTCCATCCATGATTACATAAGGTGTTGATTGAATACAATAAGATATTACTAGATTATTTTAAGATTTTATTTCTACTTTGTTTTATTTAATTTTAAAATTCATGTTTTTTTGAATATACAACTGAGATTTTAGCACGTAGATTTAAGTTTTAAATTTTGCTTGGATTTATTTGTAGCTCTATTCTTATAAAAAATAGTTGAACAAATGCTATTTGCATTAGTATTGATGTACACATCAAAAGTGAAGTATTCTTGGGCTTTTTCCTCTTTATGTAGATTCTCTATTTTTATATCCAGTTAGTGAACTTTCCTCTTGTTCACTTTCTCGTGTGTCCTCTAGCTTCAGTCTCTTCCTCTCTCTAGTAAATTTTGTTAACCTTATGTGGCCCAAGCGGTATTCTCTTATATCTTGTGAATTTTTTTTTTTCCTTTTGGCTATGCAATCTCACAACTTCTTTGTGCACATACATATGTATATGGTATACTTTTGATAATCCTTCTTTTGATTGCTTCCTCATTCACAAGAACATTAAAAATTTGTTAATTATTGGCATAATTAAATCAATGGCCATGCATCATATATCTTTGATTTGAATAGTTGACCGAGTTTTAGACCATTATAAATTATTGATCGTTTGATTGGTGCAAAATATCTCCTCCCCCGTTTAGTTTTGGTTCAGACACTATGAGTGATTGCCTTTTTGTTATTTTGTTATTAACCAAAGATGAGCAGAATTATGATAATGACACTAGTTTTTAGCAGCTAATTGTTATCATAGTTGAGCAATTATATGTTTGTTAGTACATCCGATCTCTCCAACCACTCACCATAGTAGAATTGGATGGCACAACCTTTCTCTTAATTGCTCTTGAGATAAGCAAGAAAGCAAGAAGAATAACTTAAAAATATTGAAGTTTCCTAGAAGAAATAATCGAAGAGTTATTGTTCTTTGATCTAATGAAAGTGAAAATCCCACATCATTGATCTTTAATTTGATTGGTTTTCAAAGCTAATTACCCTCAATAATGATCCAATAAGAATTTTTTACTTGGTCGATCCCTTTGTATGGATTTATGAAATGATTTATCCCATGAGTAATTGCATTAAGATGAAAGTCAATATTAAGTTTCGAGCACATCATTAGGAGTACAGTGCAATTCGAAGTTACTAACATTTTTGGTTTGCTCAAGATATATCGATTTGTCTCCCAAAGAAAAACTAGGTTCATTTCTATTGTTAGTCTCTTCGGTGAGTATAAAATACAGATGGTTCATGAATATGTAATAAACTGTAGAAAGCTTTTGTAAAAATATTGATAATTATCAGAACAAATACTGCAAATCCATGACATTTGCCTCATTCTTGCTTTTAAATCTAGCAGGAGAAAGGTGATGAAGATCAATAGTCAGAGCAATTGACAAATATACTAGCTGTAATAAATGCTTACTTAATGCAAAAAACAGACTATTCAACCTATGCCTAGCAAAATGCCATTCAAGGCTTGGTATATCTTTTCATTTAGATAATCAAAGAAATAAATTCATCCTCAATTCTTGTTTTCTCACCATATCACCATATAAAATGTATTGTCTATAAGGCTAGGTTGTAAGAGCAATTCTCATAGAATATTTTAAATTTTGAATAATTAGGCCTACCTCGTACTCCAAAGCCTAAGGATGCATGACTTTATCTTTGATGAGTATATTTTTAAGTTTTGATTCTCATATCAATGTTCAAAATTATAATGAAACTCAAACTTGCATTAGCGGACTTTCAAAATTTTCTTCCTACTTTTATTGCTTATCTTCAAGCATGAGGGTTAATTAATTATAGGTGGATACATCTATGGAAATCTTTTCTCCAATTCTAACAAACATAGATTTGTCATTAAGAAATTTTTTGTTAAAACAAACTAAAGCCTACCCTTGAGTTACCTCCAATTAAGAAGGATTTGGGTTTGCTATGGCTTTTCCTAAGAGATGAAATTGTTGGCCACTACATTACGGAAGAGTTTTCTCTTCATGCTTTTGATCACCACTCAGACTTATCCTGGATGCATAGCATTTTTAAATGTGATGGGCAATAGAAAGCCATAAAACAAAAATCCATGGAGGGTAATAGCTCATTTTTGGGATTCTAAAAACATTCTTTTTGGGAGAAGCCCCAACAATTGTTTGAAGGCCATTGAAGAAATAAGTGTCTTTCTTCACCCCAGTCCCCCTCCAAAATAGCACGCACGTGCGCACACACACACACATTCAATGAGGTTCTCTTTGCTATCATAAAGTATGGGTTTTTTAGTGAGAGAGATCAACAAACCAATCATAAATTTCTCAATAGAGCTTCTTTGCATATGCAATGGATGATCTTTAATTGAAAACCTAGCGTGGATCTCATCTAAAATGCTTTATAATATGTCTTGGATGCTCAAAGATTTAAGATCCATGAAAATATATCGTGGAAAGCACCTTTGTTTGACATACTGACAATATAACTTCATAGATCCATTGTTGGAAGGTCCTGACGATTAATTATGAAGTTATGGCATCAAATTTTCCAAATTTTGCACAGTACACATTGGACATCTGGATAATGCCATTCTTTGAGATTTGTTGTTAGATGGTCGCAACAATACATAGTGCAAGACCTCAAATTCCTAAACTTATGCAATAAGCACCACCTTTTACATTTAGGTATTATAGCTCCCTATGATATACGATTGGAAGGTTCATAAATAAATGGATCTATAAGTAATCAAGCTTTATAGCTTAACAATTTGACTTGGAGGTGCCCCTCAAAAGAAGTTATATGCTGAAGGCCCCTGTTTGAAAGATTGCAAAAGTTGTCCTCACACAGTGTGTGAAAAAACATAGGATCCAAAGTCTTATAAAATCAATGGAACAATTTGTTCGATCACTTTGTTAGTTTGACAAACTTTATGCACATCTAGAAGATATCGAACATTATTTAATATTATGCAAAATTTAAAATCAACAAGCTCAAGTTTGCAACTCAAAAGATATTTCATGACCCAATTAGCCTAATAAATGTGTCATGATACGAAACGGATTCCAATAGTCGAATGTAAGCTTACTTTTTTTTGGTCCATTAAGTATAGTCCCGGTAATAGACCAAAGATCGCACTAGTGAAACTTATCATTGTAAAAGACTGAAGAGTAGAGTAGAGTTGTTTGATTGATTTTACAAACTCTAGATGTTTTGTCAACTTAAAAATAACATCTATCTTGAATATGAAATCCAGGTTAAATAATGTTTGACGATTGAACTGGAAAAATGTATCTGTACACAAAGTTAGAGGCTGAGCTGCCTTGTTAATTCGATAAGTTGAGTCAACTTATAAATCTCAAACTCAATGTTCAAACGATCAATGTTGAATATCAAATTTTAGTTTAACAATCCCAATTGTCAAATCCAACTTGAGGCTGAAGCTTTCGTCTTGATTCAAACAATTTTTAACATTTAAATCTCAAGTTCAAGTCCAATGACGGATCTTGAATATAAAGTTTCAGCTCAATAGGCCCAATCTCAAACTACCAAAAGCTTATTAGCTTAGAAGCTTAATGGTTCAAACTTTAATGTCAATTTGATATGTTCCAATTGTTGAGCTGGAATACAGACATGATGGTTTTGGGTCTGTTTGGGGCAGCTGCAGCTTATCCAATTTCTGCTGATAAGCAGCTTATCCTGATAATCTGTTGATGAACAGCTGATCCAGATAAGCTGTCTGGCTGTTTGATTTGTGCGCTTGAAAAACAGCTGATTCTGGAAAAATGATCATTTTGTCTCTGTTCTAAATAAGCTGTTTAGTTATTTGGT